CAACTGGCAGGTAGTAAGGGGAAATAGAGGGCTGGTTGGTTGTAACCAGCATTCTTTCTATAGTCTGCATCTAGTATGCTCCATGTACAACTTGTAATTGGGGAATTTCGAGTCCCTCTGTTATTTTTGCCTTTTCGGAGACTACTGTCAGCATTCTTTGTTTCTAACATAGGTCCTTGAGGCATGTTCTCTTTCTTCATGGTCTGCTTGATGGAGACTTTTAGTTTCTCCAGGTTCTAGAGGTTATTTTAGGTCAGGTCCTAAAATTCTGTACTTATACCCTGAAAAAACAGCTTGAACAGTTTTTAGGAGTATGAAAATTACTACTTTATGGCTGTTTCATTATTAGCTAATTAAAATCACAATTACAAAAAAGAATGTGTGTTTCAACTTGTTTCTTCAAACTTTGGGGATGGTAGAGCATGGTAAGGAAATATAGAAACAAAGGCAAATGTTCTTGCATTACAGGGGAGATATGGTTAGATGTTGAGAAAAGATAAATCCTTTAAGTTGTTAATGGAGAAGAAAGATTTCTACTCAGCAGGCAGATATTGAAAACAATAACAATCTCAACATGAGTTTCAAAGGCATATAATTAGTTTATGGGGAAAAAATGGTTTAGACCAGCAGTTCTCAACTCTCTCTGTGTTAGAATCATCTTTTGAAAAAGCACAAAAACCCTATCACCATTCCCAGAAATTTAATAATGGGGCTCCTGCTAGGCCTGTTGCTTGCATGGCTCCCAGGGACTCCATTCACATGGTAATTATATGACTGGTGTCTCTGGGAGAGTGCAGTGCCTGTGGCCTGCTTGACCATTGGCTTTTTTAAAAGTTCCCTATGTTGCCCAGTGGTGGAATGCCTTATTGTGATTCTCAGTGTCTTCTTTGTGTTAAAACATGAACTTGCACTTCTACAAATGTAAATGTGTTAGGCAGAATTGGGGTACTGGATGTATAGAATAATTTGCTTTAGTATGTATCTCCTATGAATAACCAAGCTCTGCAGCGTATTCTAAGGCAAGCGCAGAAAGAGCTGAAATGGGAACATATTTGGTAACAATGAAATACTTGAATGTATCAATGATAAGTGGTTAGATTTAGTTTATCTGCAGTTAACAGGCAATGGCAGAAGTCATCAATAAGCAGCTAATCTCTACATGTTCATTCAGCATGATACTTATTACCTAATTTATCTCCCCAACTGACTATTTTATTTTATAAGGGAGGACATGTACATTGATTTAGAAAAATTCAAATATTATATTTTTGGTGCTACCTCTGACTTTATTATATGATTATTTTGAATCCTTAATATCTTGCTTTATAGAACAGTCACTTTAAAATTTCCGAAAGCTCACAATTTAAGGTATTCAAGCCTCCGTCACAAGAAGTACAAATGAAGATACTGATATTAAATGCCAAAGAAAGTAACTCTGACTATTGTGATAATCATCTAAGTTGTATAAGATTGGCTCATTTTAGAGCTGGCCCAAAACAAATCTATGCTTATCTCTGGAAATGCCTGAAAATCTGGTACTCAGATAAGATATGAATGACAAATACTAGTGATTTTTATTGTGCTGTTCATTGTTCAAAATTGCCCTAGAGGCACCAGGGCTAGCTTGTCTACACTGTCTAGGGATTTAGGATTGAAGTTTTATATCTAGGTTAGTTTTACAGCCTGGTCAGGCAAGGGAACCAACATCATTGAGAAGATCTTACTGTAAACTTATTCCTGCACTAGTCTGAAACCAGGATCAGCCGCTAAAATGGAGAAGGGTCCCCTGGAGTGTTATGCCTGGATGTCTCAAAGCCAATTGCTCAGGCTTTGTTTCCTATGCTGGAGTATATTCTTTACCTTTGTAAAAGACTTCTGGGAATACACACTGTAGTCCTGTGAGTCCTTATGATATTCAGCTCTGTAACCAATGCATACACTGCTTGCAATTGGTTCTTTATCAGGTCAGGCATGAGGGAATAAAGAAAGAAATACCAGCTGGGCACGGTGGTGCAGGCCTATAATCCCAGCTGCTCCAGAGGCTGAGACAGGAAGATTTGGAGTTCAAAGCCAGCTTCAGCAATGGCAAGGTGCTAAGCAACTCAGTAAGACCCTGTCTCTAAATAAAATACAAAGTAGGGCTGGGGATGTGGCTCAGTGGTTGAGTGCCCACGGGTTCAATCTCCAGTACCCACTCCTCCAAGAAAAAAAAAAAAAAAAGAAAGAAAGAAAAAAAGAAATACCTACATGTGAATTATAATTTAGTATGTACTTAATACTAACTTAATTAAAATAATTAATTTTGTATACTATTTGCTCTCCACTTGGTTGTTGATGGATTTATGTCTTTATCAAAAACATCTTTAAAATTTGAACTACCAGATAACTGCTTTTTGTAAAAAAACAAAACAAAACAAAACAAAAAAACAACAAATGGAGTACCACATAAAGCACCTATAACTTTCACAAAATTTGCCCAAATGGTTTGCATATTATAATAGTTTGGAAATACTGATCAAATTGTTGCCCACTTGTGTAGCATTTAAATCGACTTTAAGTTAGTTCCCGAGTCTACACGCCCATTTTAATGTTATAATGAAACAATGAGATAAGACAGTTTTATTGGTAATGTTTTTAAAATGAAATTGACTTCAATCTTCAAAGAATATCAAAGAGTTGTGTTAATATTATCTTTTGAATTGTATTTTCAAACTTGTAATTAATTTTTATTGTTATTCATCCATTTAGTCCTGAGAAATATTTTTTTATATATTCATAGAAATATATTTTAATCTTTTTAATGGAGTTATTTCTGAATTATCTTTAACTTTCATTTTTATTTGATGAATGGATGTACTTCTCTTTCTACTTATTTATATACTATTAAACATACATGAAAAAACCCACTATATACATAAATCTTAGAAGAACTTTGTCATTGATAATGAGAAAGAAAAAAGTATGTAAATAGGTGAATTATAAATAAGATTGCATTTTGAAATGGGGTGACGGGGTATTCAATTTTCCTGCCTACTTAGACTTTATAAGTTCTGAAAGATTACATTTTTATGTAAGTGGTAAAACTTTAGAAATATTATAGTACTTTTTACTGAAATATTTGTTTGGCCATGAAATGTTTTATGGCTTAAATAAATATATCCTTGTGACATCTCTGCTTTTGTTTTAATACTAGCTTCATGAGCATGCTGAGAGAGTTGAGAATCTGTAGAACATTGTTTAACCTGTGCATAATATGAGAAAAGGCAAATGCTCTTATCTAGCAATTCATGTATATTATTCTTTGTTTTTTAATATGTGTAAGCTATTACTGAAAAGTTTGAATTAGCCAAATTTCACTTTAAATATCCCAACAGAAAATCACCATTCAAAGGAACCAATTGTTACACACTTTTGTAAAGTAAAGACCCTATGATATAAATCTTTATCCTCAACTTTATTTTTGTTTGTATGTGAAGATTTTTTTTTTCATTGTTTGGGAATGCACATCTATTCATTTTTTTTAATATAAAATTTTTTAATTTGTTCTTTTTAGTTATACATTACAGTAGAATGTACTTTGTCATATCATACATACATGGAGTAAAACTTCCCATTATTGTGGTCTTACATAATGTGGAGTTACACTGGTCACGTATTCATTCATGAAGATAGGAAAGTTATGCCTGATTATTCTACTGTCTATTCAGTTTTGAAGCTATTGTACATATTTTGATCTTGGTCTGTATTCCTTAAACTATTAAACTATGTGAATCTTTGCCATGGACGGGAGGAGGACATAGGTTTGCTAGGAACTGTCTCCATAGAGCTGAAAGGAAGAAGATGTTGGCAGACTAAAGAAGATACATCTGAGAAATCATTCCATTGCTGTTTCTTCAAAAGTCTTTCAGGAAAACAGATTAAATATCCTAATTGCTGGTGATGGAAATCTAACATGTTTTAGCCAAAGCAAAAAAAAAAAAAAAAAACAATGGGACTTTTTAATAAACAGCATAGTGGGTTCATAGAAGGAAAGAAAAGAAGACAAGGGCCTGAATTTTGGAGGCCAGAAGTGAGAACAGAAGTACTACTCTGGCTATTGTTCACCTTTTCTTTCTGTGTGTAAGCTTCATCTTCTTGGGCTTCTCCACATGTTTCAAATCATGATCCAGAAGAACAGTTGCATCTCACACAGTTGGTACCAGAGAATCCTGGGGAGGCTGGTGACTCATCCTGCTGAGTCACTTGAGTGCAGGTTAGTGATGCTCTGTGCTGTGACATGGGCCCATGGGCCCACCCTAGGACAAGGAGGGTGAGGGTAGAATCATGTTACTGGCCATCACCACTGGAATAACATGGTTCAGGTAGGGAGATGTTACTATAAAAAAAAAAAATGTAACCCTTACCAGAAAAAGGCTTCAGAAAGTGGTCTTGGGCAGAACAAGCCATCATTAGCACATTTACTTTGGACACAACACGGGTACAATGTGAAAAACAATTCCAGATAAATTAATCTCTTTACTGATAGGTAATAAAGCAGGAGATGATTTAGGTAAATGTGTTTTTATTTTTACCCATCAAATTATTTAGCAAAATTCCACAATATCCTTATGAATGAAGTATGTATTATAGGCTGAATGATAGCTCTTTTTGAATGAGTTACTAATTTGAATAATCCAATAGTAATCTGTTTCCATCTGGAGTGAGGTTTCTAAAGCATTCCATAAAAATTGGCCTTTGCACTGTGAAATGTTTAGTAAGCCTTTATGGAAGACAGTAACTTAAAAAACATTTTAAAGAACATTTTATGGTCAGGCACTATTTCAGACATTGTTGATAACAAATCACACTGAACAAATTACCTTCTTCAAGAAGAAATTACCTTCTTCACTATCTGTTAAGGTAGACAAATATATAAACTGATAGTTACTTTGAAAGAACATATTTTTAAGATAGATTAACCCAAGTTGAAGGGCTCTAATGAAAGGATTTTCAGAGACGCTGAAGCTTGAGCTGAGGCCTGAAGAAATATGCAGGAGAAGGCAGGAGAAATATGCAGTAGGCAGCAGTGTGTGCCTGGGTCAGAAAACAGAAAGAGCGTCACACATTTAGAATCTGCAAGCAGTTCTATATTTAAATATCTCTTAAACTTGATGTAGAATATAAATATATAAATTAAAATAAATTCTGTATGTTTGGATCTAGCCTCTATTTGGGGGAGTAGAAGGAGATATGGCTAATGGGTCATGATCAGAACTTGAAAAGGCTATGTGAGATTTTGGAGAAGACTGTTTAGAAAAATCTTTCACATTACTTCTAGTTAAAAGTAAAGCAAAAGCATCCCTACCTTGCTCTAATAATTGAATTCAATAATCCATGAAGAAGGGCTTCTTAGTTCAGATACACTGAAGCAGGTAGCTGAGAGTAGAAATTATACTTCCTCAGATGTCCAAAAGTGGTTTGCATAACCTCAGGAAATTCATCAAAAAACATTTTATTTGAAACAGCCAGGTTCTGAAATGTAAGAGGGCCATAATAATATCCTTGAATTCAATTTAGCACCCCCACAGACTGGCAAATGAGTGAGGTGAATGAAGAAGTGTATAGCTAGACCTCCTCCTACCCAAACCAAACTCCTCATGTGACAGGGTAGAGAAGAAAAAGTGAGTGGGTGGTGCAGCGGATGATGCTAATCAGCTGCCACACACACCTCACTTAGAACCAGAGAAACTTCCTGTTAGCTACATGCTGAATAACACCCCCTGGGGATGGGGAGTATAAAAGGAAAAAATCTAGAAACAAAACTAAAATCCAAGTTACTCTTCCATCCTCCTCCCATTACCCTTCCTCATACAATCTTCAATTAAAAACTTGCCTATAAAAATAATCCCCTTTAAAGACTTGCTTCTCACCAGTAGAACATGATGATGAGTGTTTGCTCCTATGGTCATAATACTTAACAGTATATGACATTGTGTCATGTGAGCCGACTATCAGAGGTTCTCTCTCCTTTGCTGGCTTGGAAGAAGCAAGGCAGTGTGAATCCTACTACTCAAGGAAATACATTCTGTTAAAAACTGAAGGAACTTGGGAGCAGGCCCTTCCTTTCCTAATCAAGTAACAGATAACCTGATGGCAGCCTGTGAGACTCAGAATCCTATTAAGCTACACCTGGACTCTTGACCCACAGCAACTGTGGCATAATACTTGTATGTGGTCTTAAACTGGCACATTTGTGTTAATTTCTTACACAGAAAACAAATACAAATATGGATGCAGTTCCTCATTTCTGACATTTATAGAAGATTTCCAGGGACCGAGGCAAATAAAACAGCTATTTGAATTAGAGCATGGTAAAAGTCATACTGAGGGCAATTTAGGGCTTTGTTTGTTCTCGAGAAAATGAAAATTTTCATGAAAATGAAAATGATTCAGTGTTGTTGGTCTCAGAAGAGAAAAGCTCTAGAGGGAAGCAAAAAAGCAGACCAGGGAAAGCTCTGTAATCCATGCTTAGGAACCTACTTATCCTGGAGCAGAGAGGGAACAATGGTGTACTTGAAGCAGAGCAGTCTAATCTGATTTGCATGTTAAATTGATCACTCCAGTAGTTGCAAGAAATTTAGATGTTGAAAAAACTTTAACTGATTTTGTGTTCTCTGGGGGTTTACAATGTGATGCTTTGAGTTAGAAATTTAGATTATTCAGGGAAAATTTAAAGTTCAGGAGATAGACATAATGAGAGAGAGAAGATGAAGGCTAGAATTTACAAAGTGTTGTAAACAAACAATGGGTAGTGCAGCGATCACACAGCTGTACATTCATCTTTGATTAACCTTAGCCACTCATTGAGTCTGGGGTTGAGGAAAAGAGACACTGATACTGAAGTTGATGATTTATATGAAAAAAGGTGAATAGTACACTAAAATATTATTTGCAAATAGTAAATCATGATCCTCATGCAGATATTGACTAGACAGGGGCCAAAGATTTTATATAATACAGGCTCATTTGACTTACTAACATCTTAAATAATAAACAGTAATCTATATTAACTGATTCAAAGGATAAACTAAAGACAACATAGTTAACCAGGGATATTGAAATAAATTTGTTAACAGATACAAATCTTATACTATGCTGGAGGACAATAAAATGTGACATTCGAAATAATAGGATGACAATTAAATTCATCCACATCTATTTGTAATTCTATGAAACAGAAAAATTACTCTGGGTTTTCTTCCATTCACAGAGCTGCAAAATTGCCAGAGTTAGAGTACAAGCAAACATATAGATCCAGCATTCTGTTGAAGGGATGGATGTTCATTAATCCTTTGTCCATTTTGGTTTTACAAAATTTTCCTTAGCAATGGTACAAAAAAAAAAAGTGTCCAGGAGAAAAAAGTAAGTTTAGAAAGAAACACATGGCAGAGAGGACTCAGGATATCCTTGTGAGAAAAGCTACTCTTTTTCTGGTAAGAGGGCAGATTCCATGTTCAAGTTTTTCTTCTCATAGGTTCGACTTTGAATGGATTTGATGTAGTAGAAACTTCAAATAGGTACTTGCAAATCAAGAACGCTAGAAATGATGGAACATTTTCTCAGGCATCGCCTGAAGGAGGCTATGGGTCTACAGCAGAATTTGTGCATCGGGCACAGCACTCCATGCAATATTAATGGAGATAGAGTGGACTAAATATATTGTGAGCCTGAGGTCATGCTCCTGGCTCCCCTGGCCAGCAACTGGGATGCAGTGAATTGAGAGATGTTTTTTCTCCACTAGAAAGGATACAGAAGTGCTGAGAGATGAGGGCAACAGCAGAAACCCCAGACCACAGGGAATGGGAACTTGAAGACTGTGGGTCAATGCCACACCACCTCAACTCTTTCTTTGCCCAGTGTGCTCTTAGTAAAATTTTCAGCTCCACTTTGATAAAAGTTAAAGGGGGAGTACTGTCAGAATATAGACACATGTGCTTTTGCACATCCATTCTTCCATCATTCCAAGAATTCATTGACTATTTGCTGTAGTTAGACAATTAACTGGAATCCTTATTTTATTATATTGCCTTTAAAAAGAAAAACTGTAAGAAAGACAGATTTTAGAAAAAGATACGTGCATGGTCTCCTAAATTTTCCCTGTGATGGTTAGTTTTGGTTGTCAACTTGCCTCAAATGAGAGTTGCTTAGAAAATTGCACACTATTGGGTGTGTCTTTGAGGGTGTTTCCAGAGACAGTTGGCATGTGAGTCTCAGTGAACTGAGTAGGGAAGAACCTCTCTGAATATCAGTGGCATAGTCTAGTAAGCCGGGGGCACAGATGGAACTGAAAGTGGAAGAAGAGGGGAAACTTGCTGACAAGCAGGTTGCACGTTACTGCTGTTGTTATCTGCTCACCAACACCACACTCCAGATTCTTCAGGCTTTGAAGGTGGACTTGCACTATCGACGCTCCTGGGGGTGTCCAGGCCTTCAGCCTCTTCTGGAGCTGCATCATTGGTCCCTATGTGACTTTCAGCTTCATAGACTGAACTGCAGCTAGTCTCCCGAGTTCTCCAGTCTATAGATGGCCATCGTGGGACTAGTCAGCCTCCATTGTGGAAACCAATCTAACGATCCCCTCTTATATGTACATTTCCTTGGTTCTATTTCTCTGGAGAATCCTAATATATTCCCTTTTTTAGTCTGAAGACATATCTGTGCAAGTTTAGTTTACAGAAATTTCATTCAAAAATTCCACCAGTATTTGTGGAGTGACTCAAGTGTTATGTCCTGGCAAAGAATGGTGATTAACACTATAGACACAGTATTTTCTCCTTACAGTTTGGCATGGAAAATGGTAATGAAACAATTACAGTACAGTCTTGTAATATGATGGTTGGGTAAGTACAGTGTGTCAGATGACCTAGGGCAGACTTTTACCATACTGACTTCAGATTTGTATCCCATCTTCAGGTGTGGTAATATTACTGTTTGGGTATCAGTGCATTTAAATTCTTTAATTTGTGTAATAGGTATCATGTGGAATCCTCAGGTTAAGCTATAACCCATTGAAAATGCAAAGGCTCAATCCAAGAGTGATCAGCTAGCATAGCACCTCAAAAGCCTCACTTAAGAGTGTTGACTCAAGCAGATCCGGGGTTTCTAACTTGTTCAAAAGCTTTGGAGGCTTTACTAATTAGCTTTAAATAAAGTCATAAATGAATTTTTACTGGTGAAGTTGATGACTTGATAGTTATGAAGGCAAATGTTACAATGTTAAGGTAAATTGGTGGAATTAAGTGTATTCCAGACAAGAAGATTGGCTAGAATATATATATATATTTTAACCTCATACAAAGACAGAGAGTAATTATACAGTAAAATCAGCCCTGTAACCTAGATCTTCGGGAGTTCTGAACTATAAATGGCCCTGTGTCTAGACATTGGTATAGAGGATTTCTGGCTATCAATGCTGACTCTAAAAGAAAAAGAATCCTGTTCCATAATGTAATGAGTAAATCTTTAAGAAAAGTGGTAGTTGGAATATATAAGGGGTCAAAAATCTGGGACCCTGTTGAGTTCACAAAACATTTTATGAATTATTTTTGTTCCTGCTTGCTAAGGAATATTGTTTTAATAGTTATGGCAGAGTTTGGTCTGAGGCTTGGCTTTCCTTGTCATCTGGTAGCAAGGTTATGAAGCAATAGTAGTTCATTCCTAGGCAACCACCATTGTTTTCTAAGAATCACATGTATGAGTTGAGGGTAATTAATGATACTAACTGATGTAACAGATTAACTTGGAAATGTCAGTGAGGTAACATAATATAAATTTATTCTTACTCATATGAAATACAAATGGTAAACATGAGAGGGAATGAGGACTTCTGCCCATATAGTCAGTCATACACATACAACATACCCAAGGTGTTAGAAAGCATAGCTTTTAAGGTTTTGCTGAGCACCCATGTCCAGTGAACAGAAAGAAGAATTATGTGGGTGGCTTTAAGGTTTGGCAAACATTATCTCTATCTATATCCATTGGCTAAAACTCATTACGTACTCCTACTTAAAAGTCAGAGAGTTGAACAAATGTAATATTTAGTCAAGAAAATCCTTCCACTAACTCTCTCTACTAATGAATAACTCTATGGAAGGGAAATACAACTTTTGGGTAGATAAGCTCAACATTAAGAAACTTAATAGAGGGAGTCTACAAAGCTATGGGACAAAACTAGGTACAACAACAAGGCATAGTGAAGTGTCTCGAGGCCAGCACCAGTAAGAAGTGACTTCTTGGTAGAAAGAGCAAAAGCAGAGAGCAGAGAGAAGAACACAGAGAGGGTGATACCCAGAGGCCTCTACTTGGAGTGACAACTGAAGAGAATCAGCACGGCTACTTCTCAGATGTAACTCAATTTCACCCCAAATTATTTCATCTAAGAGTTTCCTGTCAACCTCAGAGAAGGAATAAGAAATCGCCTCATGGTTAAGAGCATGTGCAATGGAGCCAGACTGTCTGGATTCAAATTCCAGTTTTGCTACAGTCTCTTTGTGCTTTGGCTTTCCCATTGAAAAATGGAAGCTCACCTCTTGTTGTGGAGAAGCTGAAGTGAGTCACTATAAGCAAACTCTCAGAGCAATGTGAGACACATGACAAGTGCCATATAGCTTTTACCTATTCATCATATCTAATTTTATTAAAATGATATACATAGACTCTCATGATGCTGCAGTCGGTTTTAAAGCACATTAGCACTGGAGAGACACCCTGAAGTGACATCTTTCTGCACTTCCAGCACTTCTTTGGGGGAATCATCTCTCTCTAATTTCTAGGCCTTTCATGTGGGTTAGGTTAGACTGTCATTTTGTTCAACAGGTACTTATGTACGCTGGTCCAGGAGGCTGACACAAGACTTAAGCTAACTAGGCACTTCCTTTTTACTGGTTCCATAATTGCTTTGGATCCTCTTTTCTCTAGGATGGTTACCTTAAGGAATAGTCTAAATCTGATAGTCATCATTACATCCTCCCTGAGAATAAAGACAATGAATGGAAAAGCAAGAAAGAAAATTACATGAATCAAGAATTTCCTCATCTTCCTATCTCTAGTTCAAATTGGGCATCTCTTATTTTTAGCCTAAAATCCTAATTTCAAGAGTACAAAGCTTTCTACTTTTTAGTTATATTATTAGGCATAAGATTTGAAGTCTCTCATGTAAATACTGATAGCTGAGATTTCAAATCTGTAAAAATTAAAATTGCAAAATGAAAACCAATCTGGAAGATTACTGTGATGCCACTAATTCCTTTAAAAATTGAAGGTTAACAGTTTTTTGGTGAAAACTTGGAGATATAATGTTAAAGATCTTTTTATGAATTATCTCATTTGATTAAAAATAATCTGTGAGATATGTGTTACTGTTGACCCATTTCCTAGTGAGGACTCTTGGTCTCAGAGAAGTTAAAATCAATAATAGGTCCCTCAGGTAAGACAGGAAAGTAAATGTTAGAGTAGGAAGCATGCTCTAAAAATTTATGCTATGCAAATCATATTTGCTAACATGGAAATATAGCAAGTACATCCCATTATGGAATAAAAATAGGTAACAAATATGTAAAATATTTTGATGTAAAATAGTATTTTAATATTTAAATACTTATATATTTTCACAAGGCAAGGTCTAGATAAGATTATATACATTAATATAATTCATATTTGATGTATTTATATATCATTTCATAAATATCTTTATTAAAATGCTCATTAATATATTACATGTTTGTAGACATGAATAAATATACCTACATACACACATATATATATATATATATATATATATATATATATATATATAACATTTTATTTATTTATGTGTTTCCATAAGGAAATGTCTGGAAAAATGCCCACCATGGTCCTGGTTTGTGGGATTTCAAGTTATTTTGAACTTCCCTATATTTTTGTTTTGCTTGAATTTTTTTAAAAAAATTTTTAAATGTTGATGGACCTTTATTTTATTCATTTATATGTGGTGCTGAGAATGGAACCTAGTGCCTCACACATGCTAGACAAGTGCTCTACCACTGAGACACACCCCTAGCCCTTGAATTTCTTTTTTACAATGAACCAGTATTATTTTTTATAAAAACAAGGCTTAAAAATACCAATAACTCCTCAAACTCACAAATTCTTAATAAACCTTACAGCCTAAAAAAAGGAGGAATAAAACAAAGGATTCGAATGCTGATATGGCAACTGACATTCCCTCATTCACTCACTCTTTTATTCAATAAATCTTCATTGAGTAAATGGATAATGGGCTAAAATGTTGAACGAAGTAGATGCAGTTTCTAATATTAATGTGCAAAAAGCTTTTGAGAGCCAGTTCCAGAGTGCTAATGGAAACTATTGCTTCACAAGCCCATGTGTATTATGGGTGTGGCTGTGTTTGTGAGTGTGTGGGGGGATGGAAGTGAGCAGAGTAGGGAGAAAGCCCATCTCTCAAAGCTTCCCCTGTTCTTTGCAGACATTTATAAGCAGGCATTTTCTGTAACACTATGGGTAAGTCTGAATGAGGTCAGGCACAAGGAAAGGCTTTATCTAGGTCACCACTCCCTTCTCAGAGGCCCAGTTCTGGGACTCTCTGAATTCACCAGAGTTTACAATTTACACTCAGAAGAAGTAACTTGTGTGTGTAGTAGCCATTATGTGTGCATAAGTGCATACACACACACATAGACACACCATTTCTATATTTTTTTCATGAAAAGTGTTACTGGACACATTGCATAATCCACAGTAAAAAGTGGCCAGACCTCATTTCAAAGGGAAAAATGTAATTCTCAGCTAATTTGATCACAACCCGAAAAGTCTTGATGTAAATTCCTTCCCAGTGTGAGTGCTTAGTCCAATTATTTTTCTTTTTCTTTTCTCCCCTCCTTCAATACAAACTCACCCAGTAATTTGGAAATCAACTGCTACTTGGTTCTGACAGAGCAAGAACATCTCCTGAAAACATGCTACTGATGCTAGAAATGAGAGGATATCTGGAAACATGGAATGTTTGAAAGAACTAAGCAATAATCCAGGAATTGTAAAGCCTTCTGGGTATCTCTGTGTGTAAGTGTCCATGTTGATTTATACACAGCTTCTTAAGAAAAACAAAACAAAAAAATAATCAAAGAGCTTTATGACATGACCCGCCTGGGTAGCAGGAAGAACTTCTCTAACTTGCTCTTGATCTTAGCGACCTTACCTAAACCATGCTTAAATAACTTATCAGGAGAGAGAGTAATAAACTCTAAAGTACCTTATTATTTTAGATTAAAACTTTCATTTTTAAATGGTATCATTTATAAAGCAATGAATTATTTTTTTTTGCCAAGGAAAATAAATGTCCAATTATTTTTATTTTGTTAGTGATTGCCCTACTTTCAATGTATCAGATTTGCATTTTTCCCCTAAGATAATAATATTAAGGGAGAAAAATTAATTAAATTTTAGGAGGTACATTAGATAGTCTCTAAGGCCACTCCCAGTCTCTCATGTACTCTGATTAGGTGAAGTGGGTTTGGGATTTTATTTTACAGTTTGTGGAAGTTGAGTGAGGATAGAGCTGCGTTGAGGGGTGGCAGGATGGTAAAGACACTTGTTCTCTCAGAGTTATGGGTAAAAATGAACTATATTTGATGTCTCTTTATTCTCCCCCCTCTTTTATACCTTCCCGTATTTTAATCACATAGCAAAATAAAGATTAAAGAATTAGAGTTAACAAAGTTATTACAAATTATCCACAGATCTGGATTTACTACAAATGTCCAAGATTGAAAATCAAAACTTCATTACCTGGAGTTGTGTAGACATTGTACAACACAAGGGACAATAAAAAAAAAATCAAAGTCATTCCAAACAGGAAACAAATCCATTTATCATGGCAAAGAGGTAGGCATCCGTATGATTTTTACGTACCTGTGGGTGGTTCATCATGGCTGGACCAAGGAGGACTGTGTTTTGATGGAAGAGGAGGCAAAAGGAAGTAGAATGGAGGCGAAGACCAGATTATGAAGGGTCTGCAGGACTGAGCTATAAACTCAAATTTTACTCAATACTGTACAGATCCAAGAGAAATTACTGAAAGACTCTAAGCTGGCAAAGACCTGCCACTAGTTAACTGGGTATGGTGATTTGCCTTCAACTGATTTGGGACAGGAGAACTAAATGTGTTTGTCAATCACCAGCATATAAATGAAGACCTCTGGGTAAGGAGAAAAGGGTTATGATATACTCTTCTCTTCACCCACCCCAACTCCCACTGAGAAAACCCAAGAAAGATGGGACTGGAGGACTTTCTTCCACCCTTGTCCTCTGTGAGCAAGGCAGAGTTCTCCTTCCTCCTTCCTCTTGGGACTGGGCTGTGGTAAAGTGGTAGAGAAGTCCATTGCCTTCCAAACAGATATAATTCACTTAAGAACAGGGTTGGAGGGAGCTGGTAGCAGTATAATTTTCCTCTTTCCCTCTACTCCCTAGAGGGGACCTGTAGGAAGAGGAAGTCCTCTAAAGGGTGAAATGATGTTTCAAAGAAGAACACTAGAAAATGCAGGGTTTCTCCTAATCATGTTGTTCTTTACATTTAAACAGATGAATCCATTTTCTTTTGCCAGTAACCCAATAAAACAGATTGGGTAAGTTCCAAAAGAAAGAGGTTCATTATGATTCATGGTTCTGTAATGGCAGTGTGACCTCATCTGGTAATAACTTTCTTGCTGACAAAGGGTCCTGAGGTGGTACAGCTAGGGAGTATATGTGTGTATCCTCTGGTCTCTCTCCCTTTTCTTATAAGGCCACCAGTATGCCTTCATGGAGGCTACAACCTGATGGTTTTATTTAGTCCTAATCACTGCCCATATCCCCCCGCCTCTAAACTCCATAATTGTATTAAGTTTCCACCTTCTTAATACCCCACAATGGGGATTAAATTTCAACACATGAATCTTTGGGGATACCCTCAAACCATGTCCACATCACTGCACTCAGCAAAGCCTTCCTGTTTAGTTTGGACAAATGAAGTTTTCCCTGCCCAGCCCCCACTCCTGCCTTCCTTTTATAAATGAATAAATATAAAATGTGAAGAAACATTAAGAGAAAGAGTTTACAAAATCTGAGTGAACAAGAGAGATAAGGCCAAGATCCTATGCAACATTAAGCAAAAAATTATAGAAAGAAAAAGTGATGATTCTTTTGTGAAAACATTTCACATATTCCTACTGTATTACCTCATTCTCTGTTGCCTTACGGCAAATTGAATACCCACTGACTTTAAAGTTTAGTGTTTTGTTTTTCCTCTTTGTTTTGTTTGTTTGTGGTTTGTTTTGTTTTGTTCTGTTTTTGCCATTGCTAAATGTCAGCAGAGACTAGGGTCCATTTTGGTTATGATCCAATCAGATCTTGTTGGAAAGAAGTAAATTGGTAGTTTGGATTGGGATCTTCTTATATTCCAGAAAATCTTTTGCACAGGTCCTCCCCCAGTGCATGTCCATTGCTATGACTTGACCTGATTAATTGATCAAGTGCAACTCTTCCACAAATAATGGCAGCTACCAATATTTATAAGTGGTCACCTCCCCATCTCCCTATAAATTTAAAGAAAGCATGCCTCCCACCAACTTTGCCATGTATACAGACATCCATTAAGCAAATATTTATTAATAAGCAAATATAAAACAAAACATACAATCTTTTTGTATACTTCATGAATTTCTAACTCTCGGTTCTTTCATGTTATCTAACAAAACCTAGCATGACATATTTACTCAAAGCAAATGTGACAATATTCTAAAGGCAGATGCCAGATTTATAATCAGCGTCAAGTCACCATAATCCTTTAAGTGGCTGGACCCAACCCTGTTATAGAGTCAATCTTTGAGAGCTTTTCCAAAAGTGAAGGGCTTGTTAGAGATTCACATTCATTTGAAGGTTTAAATAGATGTAATTTATTTTATCGAATTCATTTATTTTGAATGTATCACTGAAAACTGTTTTGAACGTCTGTTACTAACAGCCCACAGATTTTCACGAGAATTTTTCCTAGCACTCATTATGCTAATTATCTAGGTTTTTGATATTGATCTGCAATTATGCTAGCAGAAAAGCATGTGGTAGCAACCTCCAGTGTGTGGATGCTTCTGATTAAAGGCTAGCTAAATAGGCCTAGAGTGTGACTTTCTGATTAGGGCAACACATTGCCCCTAGAGTGACATTTAAACTAAGAAATGAAGAATATCACATTGCTTGTGCTGAACTATTTTAAGTTGTAGAGCATATAAGACCTGCCATGTTTACCATCCTAGCCTACTTGTTAACAGGAACCTGACAGATTCTCCCATGTTCCTGGTATGATCCCTTTCCTGGGCAGCATGGACCACACATGAGCATGAAAAGTGATATGTGACTAGGACCCTTTTAAAGAGAATCCTGTTAAACCACACTAAAATGGCCTTGTGACTTTGCATTCACACTGATTAACTCATTCATATTCTATAAGGATAAAGCTTTGGCTTGTAAAATGGTTCAAAATTCAATATGTCACAGCACAGCATACATTTAGTTTTGTAATTTGATGAATAGTGCTTTAGAGAGCATGCTTGACATTTACCTAAGAAATTTGATTCCTTTGGGAATTATTTACCACTCAGAGAAACATATAAATTTATATTAATGTTGTCTTCCAAACCCAAAATTGCTTTTCCTTCAATAAACAAATCATGTCAATTTTGGTCATTTTGAAAAATTGAGAATTGATGAGTGTTTTTCTGTTGTTATTCAACAAAACTAGAGAAAATTCAGGATGCTCATTTCACTACTGCACAACAAAAATGACATCTTTTAGCAAAGGGCAAAATTGCAAGTAAAGGTTTTAGAAACTTTTATTGATATCTTTGTTTAAAAGACTGCTTTTAAAAATATAAGTACTTTAGGCCGACCACCAAAGGCTTATTTCTGGTAAGATGAAAAATAGGCTGTATTTTATTACAATTACTATGAAATATGGCAATAAAGCATACAAGTTCAATTTGAGTACCATAAAAATTGTTTTTCTCCTTTCTGTGGCTATTAATGAAGTACAGGGATTCCCACTTCTCTCCATGCATTAGTTCTGCTGTATGAGTCAACTAATAGACTGAGATTGTGTGCGTAAGTATTCCTCTTTATCGCTGATGGGGAAAGAACAGAGAATCATTAGATGAGACATTGCCAAATGAACCTTAATTACATGTCGAGATTTTGGCTGAGCAACTTGATGTGAGAAAGGGTAGGTTAGAAGTCGGGTTGCCAGGTAAAATGCAGAATTACAGTTTAACTTGAATTTCAGGTAACCAAGGAATGATTTTTTAATAGAAATATAAGTAAGTGTATGCACAGGACATATTTATACTAAAAATTATTCCTTATTTACCTGAAATTGAAATTTAACTGGGCATACTGTATTTTTGTTTGCAAAATATAACAACTTTAGGTAGGAGCTGGGGGATATGGAAATTTTTTATTTTAATTTCTATCTTTGCTTACATCTCGAACATTGTTTTTTTAAAATATGGGGATATGAAATTAAAGCTGTTTCAAGAAATAATCATGAACTGAGACTTGGAGAGTTTTTTTCTTTCTTCCTTCATTTTTTCTTTTTTTACTACCTAGGTCTCTTTTGAGATTTTTTTTTCTTTCTGAAATATTTAAATTGAAATAATGGGAAAGGCACCCTTTAGTTGTTTGGAAACAAGTCATTCAGGGTAATAAAGGGGAAATGGAATGGTCAGTAAAGCTGGGTTGTTAGCTATTGTATGGTTTGTAGATTGGCACATACTTGAGCTCTGGGAATCTCTACACTAGTAACTCAAAGACTGATTTAAAATCTGATAGACTTGAGTCCAGCTAAATGATTTATGATATAAGTTTGAGCCTTGTTATCTTCCTTAATATAATGAAATGCATATAACAGTAGTGATCCTGTTCTCAGGATTAAATAAAATAAAATTGTAAAATTCTTGGCATAATCCTTGAATCATCCAGACTTCTCTAAAAATGGTAGCTCTGTTCATTTATGGCTTTCAAGTCAAATGTGTTTGCACTAAGTCAAGTATTTTTTTTTTAGAACAAATAAATAAGAAAAATCTTAAGACCCATTAAAGTCATTTGGGAAAAATATTTTATTTACTATGTAAATAAAACTCAGGGACAGGAATTAAGATGTCTGTTTTTATGTAGAGGAAGAAAGAACTTGGATAGTTTTACTTGGAACCTTTTTTCTTCTGTGTTAAAGTTTTCTCCCCTGTTATTACTAGTGCTCCAGAAATGATCATCTAAAACTCTTTTAAAATTTACTATATTTACTAATAAATATCTATTCAATTTTATTTTTAGTAATTCAAAGAATATTGCTTTTGTCATAAATCTGGTACAGTGATTATGGAGATGAATAAGTGGTAATTGTAGCTAACCATAACATCAGTAAACTTGTGATAAAATTGGTATGATACACCTATGCTGTTTTCTCAAGTAAATCAAGGCATAATAATCAAATGAGGCAAATTCTCAGAATATCAGGAGTAGGAATCCCTATTCCAAAGGTACAGCCCTTTGGGATGCAGTTGTATCCCACCTGGCCATGTTGACTTGAGAATCATTTTGATGTTTTGAATGAGGTATTGCCATTTATACACCTTTCTTTTGTGTGATGAGGAGGCTCCAAGATTGAGAAGAAGCAAATTTCTCTTCAACTCCATATTTGAACATTTTAGGGGATTTTGCCACCTACTGTCCGGGTTTAGGGAATATCTTCACTTAATAGGAAACTACATTTATTCCTGCTGAGAATGGACAGACACTGTATGTACTCTGAAACAATTTTCTGTTAAGGAGAGATGGACCACCTGTGTGAATGGTATAGTTGGAAATCAATGTCCATGATGAGTGGAGGGGAAACGCAGAGGCCAGGGAAGTCTTCTGAGAGGTTGAGCTTGAGCTGATGCTTGAAAGTGAGAATAGGTTTGTGCCCCTGGGACCTGGCGACACCAATGTTTTTCAGAAGTAAGAAACTGAAGCAATCTAGGGATCTCCATGGAAAATGATCTAGTTTGGAAATTGTAATAGAAAAGCAAGAGGGTCTAATTTGGGGACTAATTAGAACAAATCCTTATTTATTTTCTGATTGATTAGGAATAACAATAGCAATAATAGCTAGTTTATTAGCATTGAATATACATTGGAAACTGTGCTTAAGCTCTGATATATTATCTCATTGAATCCACCTCACATTCCTTAAAGTCACCATTCTGAAGATGAAGAAGTGGAGGCTCAGAGAAGTTAAAGACCACAGTAAATTCTGAAACCCAAGTTTGTCTGATATGATGAATTACATTTATTGATTTCCTTATGTTGAACCAAACTTGCATCCCTGGGATGAATCCCACTTGATTGTGGTGCATGATTTTTTTTGATATTTTTTTTATTCGATTTGCTAGAATTTTATTGAGAATTTTTGCATCTATGTTCATTAGAGATATTAGTGTAAAGTTTTCTTTCTTTGATGTATCTTTGCCTGGTTTTGGGATCAGGGTGATATTGGTCACATAGAATGAGTTTGGAAGTGCTACCTCTT